CACAATCTGTGAGCCAAAATAAACCTTTCCTCTTTTAAATTGTGAGTATATGGTATTGTATTTCAAAGAGTTAACTAAGACATTTGTTAATACCAATATCAAAGCAATCGATTAACTCTCAACATAGCTTATTAGTAAATTTATTAAGATTTTGAAAAACAAATTACAAACTATAAATGTGTATGTATACTATAAAAGTACAAAGACTTCAAATTATACCTTAATGCCGAAATCTACTGCATAATCTTAGGAGTCTTAAGGTTTGATGCTCTATTGAATTCAGGTGATCTTAGAAGATAAAACATCTCCCTCACCCATCATTATCAATGAACCTTACAGTAATTATGAGCCGATAATTTAAACAAGGGTTGGCAGTAACCAAGAAAATCCATTTTAATTGAAATTTAGAGAACAAGACTGGAAGAGGAAAAAAGACACCAAAGATATAAAACCCTATGATTTCAGCATGCCTTGGCCATCTTGCCTGGGATTAGAGATGACATGGTTCATACTTTGAGAACTTCAGTTACGTGACAGTTACAGGTCATTTGCAGGTATTACTCATGCTTACTTCCCAGGCTTTCTTTTACCAACCTGTTGGTCTAGGTGACATAAATTCTGTTGGTCTAGGAGACATAACACAAGTAAGTGTTATACCTACTTCTATCCAATGTAGTATAATTGTCACACTACTAGGCATGAAGAAGTGTCAAATAATGTCAAGATGTTGTCATTGCAATAATGAAATTGTCAACCTATTTCTTTTTCACACAAGACAAATCCAGGTGAAGAGAGCAGTGTTTGCTAATGTCAGTCATAGGATACTATGGAAGTAGAAATTGAGTTTTAAAAATCTCCAAAAAATGATTGTAGCAAAACAACGAAAGTACAGACCAGGTTTTGTTTCTAGAGGATATTAAAAATCTAGGTAGTTTTTTTCAGCATGTTAAGATTTAAACGTCAAACTAAATATCATTTTGGGATACATCTTGAAGGAAAAACAAAACAGAGGGAAAGGAGATTGCAGAAACATCCTTAAGGTTGTTCTTGAGACATTTACCACTACACAATATATGATGTTCTGTTTCTCTAAATCAATAAGCATCAAAGCTCTCACACAAAAATATTCTCAGAGGAGGAAAAAAGAAAAACTAGTGTGATATATAAAGGCAGCGATCTGCAATGAAATAACTTTTTTCTTATCCTCACTTCTCTGTCAATCAACTAATCAACAGTTAGCAGATGAACATATGATTAATACACCCACTGATAGACTGGCACTTTACTTTTTTCTGCATTTTGCATTCTTCATGTTTCTAAGAAGGGAGGCTTTCAGTGTCTCAAAGCGGGCAGGACTGAGCTGGGCACTGAGCACTTGCTGTGTGCTTCATAATTTACATAGTTATCATACTGAATTCTCATAGCAACTTTATGACTTTGACACTAACATTAACCCACATTTTAGAAAGGAAATTGAAGCACATTGTGCTAAGTCATATCCTTAGCCCTTAATGCATAATATAGAGACACAGAGGTAGGCTGGCTCCCAGTCCTACGCTTAGCTATGGTGCAACTAATCTTTGTCTGGTCATCTGCCTTTCTATCTGCACTCACAGGTTCTTGAACTTTCAAAATGTCACTCTGGCTGCCTATTTAACTGCCTATCTCTTAAGCAACTTGGAGGCATGGCTTTTTTTTCCTCTCATAACCATATTTTTAGTGCCTAACATGTTGCCTGATATATAATACATGAATGAGAAATGTTTCCAATTAATAATTTTCCTGACTGGGGACTTGGCTTGGTGGTTCAAGCACCTGCTTGGTGAGCTTGAGGTTGTGAGTTCAATCCCTGGTACCAAAAAAAAAAAAAAAAAAAAAAGAAGAAGAAGAAGAAGAAGAAGAAGAAGAAAAAGAATATTAATAATTTTCCTTCTAATGATAATAAAAGTGAAGACATTTGGGTCCGGGATTTAGCTCAGCAGCACAAGCACTTGCTTGGCAAGTGCAAAGTCATGAGTTCAATCCCCACTACCAAACAAATAAATAAAATAAAAGTGAAGATGTTTAAGAATCAACCCACCTAGGTTGAAACTTCGGTGCTGAACCCTGATTTTTGGCCAATCACTAACCTCTTGATAACCATTTCATTGGGATAATAATAGTGCCAGCTTCATAGTATCACTGTCTAAGTTAAATGTTAGAATTTGAGACATAAAACTGGGTGTGGTGGCACACTCCTGAAATGCCAGAATGAGGCAGGAGGATCACTGTGAGTTTGAGGCCGTCCTGTGCTGCGTAGTAGTTCAAAGCTAGCTTGAACTGCATGGTGAGAGTCTGTCTCAATAACAAACAAACAAACAAAGACTTAGAGAAAGAAAACTGTGTTTTGCAGGTGACTAACAACCTAATTTAGAGGAATTCAATTCATAGTCTTCTTTCTTGAAGAAGTCAATACAATGATTTTTTTTTAAAAATTAAAAAGCTCCACTCTTTTGAAGGTCTATTAATATTTAAAGGAGTGGTCATCTGCTGCACAATTTTAATCCTAATTTCTCTTGAGGTGGAGGCAAGAGGACCATGTGAGTTTAATGCCTGGCCACAGATGGAAATCCCATTTCCAATAAATTCAAAAAGTTAGCACATGTGAATATTCAAGAATGTTAATACATGAATATTCTTTACAATTTAGCTAAAAATAGAAGTTCATATACTAGACAAATATTATCCTCACTATATCTTGTGCTTTAGAATTGTGGTTAATAACTTTAGAAAATAACCATTTATGAATCTTAAAGTACTAACTCTAACTCAAAGAGGGTGACCATAAGAAAAACTTTTAAGCATTAGAGAAAAATACATACATTCTGGTCTTCCTCCTAGAGAATCCAATTCCTTGGAACTGAAGTGGGAACAAGACGTTTGCATGATATTCTGCTGTGTGTGTGTGTGTGTGTGTGTGTGTGTGTGTGTGTGTGTGTGTATTTTAATCTGGATGCCATTAATTTAAAAGAGTTCCAGCCGGGCATGCTGTTGCACACCTGTAATCCCAGCACTCAGAGGCTGAGGCAGGAGGATCGTTGCAAGTTCGAGACCAGTTTGAGCTACAAAGTGAGCTCAGGGCCAGCTTGACTCGCATGACAAGACAAGACAAGACAAGACAAAAAAAAAAAAAAAAAAAGAGTTCCATTCCAGGTAGCTACATTCTACTCCCCTCCTTGACTTTTCTAGGAATATAGCAGCAGCCAGGCCCCATCTGAGAGATCATGCTGCCACACACCATCCCGGATTAACTGATAGTGTTCCTCTTTCCTGAGAGGAGTTGCTGCTAACTCCACTGAGCTCCTTCTGCTCAGTAACTAAATTTTGAAGAATTAAAAAATATTTTATTAGAATATTAGGGACTTAATATTCATTTTATTACTAAATAGTTACTGTGGTTAAAATTATTAGCACATCTTTTGGTGAATACTTTAAACAAAGTAGTAAATTATTTTCTCTAAATAATAAAGATACATTACTATGTATACGTCTCAAAAATAAACTTATTTTTCCTAATTCTTATTCATTTTATAAGAATTCTTAGAAGAAAGTGTTATTTTACTGCTTTGTGGATTAAGAAACCAACTACGAGACAACTGAACAACTTGCTCCAGGTGAGCTTGGGTTCACATCTAGATTTCTGAAGGTATGTCCAGAGTTGTCTCCCATTCATTGACAAATAAGGTATTTTTCTCTTCTGCAGGGGAAAAATATATCCCACTATTTTTTAAAGTTTTATCAATCTATCATAACATTTTCAGTAATCCTACTTGTGCAGAGGCAGTCAGCCTGTTTTGTTAGAAGAACGCCACAGCCCCCATAACGAGTAGGCAGTGAAAATTGGCAGCACAGGCCAGAGTCTGATTTAGTCAAACATCAATCCACTTGTAAAAGTCCTTGAAAAACAAAAAATGTCTTTAACATTTTGACAAGCAGCGGAGAGGAGGCCCTCTTGAAGGTTACATGAGCTTTCTTCCCACAGTTCACAGTATTCTACTTCACACCTCTACTTTAGTTTGTCCTTTCTTTTGATCATTTTAATGAACTTGAAAATGCGCTTTCCCCTGTATGGCAGATGGAACGCTGAGTAGCCCTCAGGTAGCCCACACTGGCCAGTGACCTCTCATTCTGGGTTAGGCGATCTTCTCATCTGACTCAAGTTGCTGCCAACAGGAAGGGGAGCATTTGCATTCTGTGATCTGGCAGCTTCTCTCAAGGCAGCCACTGCTCCGACACCTGCTCTGACCTTTTTGTGTCTCCTCTTCAGAGCCTTTCCCTTCTGTCCTTCAGCTAAGCAAGACCAGAGGATGTCTCCTCAAAACACGTGGCTGGCAGTTTCTGACCCACTTTTTAAAAGTATAGGTAGGAATGAGGTGACTTAGTGACTGAGATAATTTTCCAGCTATGTTCTGTTTTTACTGATTCTTTTATTTAGTGCATGTTTTTTAGGGCAGTTATGTTCCAAATATTCTGTGAAGCATAAAGAATGATTAATAACCAGCTCTTTGCCCTAGAAAAGCTGGCCAAGAGAGGATTTATAACACGGCCTGAGAGAGGTGTGTTCAGGGAATGTGGGAGCACAGAGAAGTCTCCCTGTTCCCAGCTCTGGGAGTGGGGTGCAGGGAGAGGCAGCGAGAACACGTCCTGTGGAGATGACTTCTGAGATACATATTAAGAAATAGCCCAGCACTTGCCGAGGATGTGTTAGACAATGAGGACATTGTGAGCTGAGAATCTGAAGAAGACGAGTGCATCTGAGTGCATGGGATGTCAAGTGTGTAAAGATCCGTGTATGTGTGTGCAGTGGTGTGTGCTGGGGAGCAGAAGAGGCTCCGTTCAGCTCTGTGTGTTTGGCGTGTGGAGAGGGTGCAGTGAAGAGCAGCAGAGGCCGGAAGGAAGGAAGTGAGGGCTGCTGCGATGCTCCAGCCACTGTTAACTACGTTCATTCATTGTGTCACCAGGGAGCAGCACGGAAATGCACGGAAGGAAACTGCGCTCCTCGCTGCTAAGCCCTCAAAAGTAAAGAGCAACCAACCCTCCTTGGGATCCTTTGCAGCTCCTGACCAAAAGCTTCCTGGACTTTGGTTTTTCACACTATGGCATGAAGGCTCTGGGATGGACTGCCTCAGTCTGACTCCTGCTTCCAGATGCAGCGTCCTTAAGTCAAGGCCAAGTACACAACTCCATGCCCAGTGTCCTGGTTTAGGAGATAATGACTTTTATATTTGAGTTACCTGGTACGTTGACACTTGTGAAAACTTAGAACTTTAGCATAAAAGATGAAGTCAGGGAATGTGTATTATTATTGTAGTTAGTATTATTACTATAAAGATGTATCCTGAACCTAATAGTTTAGGATTTTCCAGTATACTCTATAATGTATACTGTAAAAAGGATTTTTATAGGTTTAGAGAAAGAAACAGTTATGGTTAGACCATCACATTATAACTATGTAAGCATTTTGTGCCCCATTTTCTCATATTGATAATGCAAAGTCCATGAATTTCTATAATTCATATAATTGTTTAAGAGTTAAATGAAAAGAAATAGTTAAGACTTTATAGCACATAATACAAAGTATCTGATATAGATATAAAATATGAAATAAATATTCCATTTTTCTTTTATGGAAACAAATATTTATTGTATATTTTGAAGGATAATGAATATAAATAAAGCATATATAACTTTTTGATGAGTTCTACAAAATGGTATGCAAATTGAATAAATACTTTATCAGAAGCAACAAAGTGGAAGAATTTTTAGAGCCTTGGATTTTTGCTAGCTACATAGTTATACTGAATGAAATGTTAAATGTCTTAGACAGTTTTCTGTTGGTATTACCAAACACCTGAGACTTAGTAATTTTTAAAGAAAAGAGGTTTACTTGGCTCATGGTTTTGAAGACTGAAAATTCAAATAGCACAGTGCCTTTTCTGGAAAGGGACACTGGTTGCATCTCATCATGGTGGAATGGCCAGTCTTGCTCTTTCATTACAATTCACTCTGTTGAGAACTAACTCAGGATTCCATAAAAACTACCTTAATCCCTTCCAACAACAGCACCTTGGAAGACAATGATCTCCTATTTCTTGATAGTTTTAGTACCTCTTGACCTGGCCATGCTGAAGACCATGATTACAACACATGAACCCTTAGAAGACAAACCACATCCAAACTGCACCAATGGGAATAACAATATAAAACATCAGGATATACATGTGGAGGGTGGGGAGGAAATCCTGAGTCAATACAAAGCAAATGGATGGAGAGGTACAAAGCAATTTAAAAGGAGGGATGGTGTGGTAGATTAACAAATAGTCAATTTGTAATACCCATCTAACTGAATCAGCATGGTGCTGGGTGTCGAAGGCCCACCCGAGGATTGTTGCCAACAGCATAAAAGGAGAACTGGAGGGGAAAATGGTGCGCTGTTGTTCTTGCTGGAGAAGCTTGTCATGTTGGCTTTCCTGATGTGAACTTGGCTGTTCTCATAGTCAGAGGAGCTCAGGGGCTTGTGGTCACTGAGAATGACTACAGTTCTCTTCAGGGGAGCTCTGGTTCTTTCTTGGAGCATCACTTCCTGGCTCCAGGACAGGTCCCTCAGCATGCTGACACAGAGCCTTTGTCTCACTGGTGCAGACTTTCTGGCTTCTACCACTGACCTTTGGGCCTTCCCAATGCAGATCCTTGATACAGATTTGCATGAGACATTGTTGTGGGCTCTACATCTCTGGTTGGACTCATGGAGGACATTGCCATTCAGGAGTCAGCTAGACTCCTGAAGAATACTGCCATGGCGCCCAGGCTGTCAGCTTGATTCTTTGGGTCTCTAGGTCTGGACTGATCTCCTGCACCCTTTTGCATTTGACTCTTTGGGTGACTATTATAAAATAATCCTCCAAATTATGTGCCCTGTATTAAATATTTTCCTTTGTATACCCTGACTACAACAGATCGTCAAAGAGGTATTCTCAGAAATGTTAATACTAACCACAATCCAACATACATATTATGAAATAGCTGTCTTGTATGTCCTATAAAATTATCCATTGCATTGAATCCCTGCTTTCACTTATATACATGATTAGGCTAAAAGCAGAGTATTTGAGTAGAAATAGAAGTAGACATAATCATAGTAAGTCTTATCCATACCATGACTGAGTGTCCTTGGTGACAGTGGCCCCAGTATGTGTTAGAATAGTGACAATTAATTGCCAAACTTATTCCATTCCTATGTCTTTATCTTTTCTTTTAGTCTACACGAGACAGCCTGTGTGTTCTATGTCCTTACTTAATAGCCTGAGGAAAGAATTATCTCATTCTCTCACATACGGAGATATTCTCCCATCCTGCCAACCACAATCATAGGGCACTTTTCTATTTAAATTGACAAAACCTAAAAAAAGACAATAAATATCTATTACTTTCCCAAGATGTTAAGAACCAGAATTCATGGAAATGCCAAAGAAATACCCCATTGCTTTGAAGCAGTGATACCATCAGTTTTAAGATGCATCGCAACTTTACGTCAACTGAGAAAAGAACAACACTTTCAGCTACCCAGTGGCATGGTGTCCTGCTGGCTGTCTGAATGTGTGAGCTGTATCAGTTCTCATTGCATGGAAATTTCTCTTATCCATTTAGAGGTAACCAGTACTTTTTTCCTCCTTTAGTCACATTGCTTGGCAAATGATAAGCAGTCTTCTTGCCCACAATTTAGAACAAAATTTAACAAAACTCCAACCACTGAGAGTCTTTCCTTCTTAGATTACACATAGCACTTAGCTGTTGTTTTGGAAGAAAATATGGAACTGTAGTCATCATTCTAATTACTCGTATCAGCTTTACCACCATTAAATCATTCTCCATTTCCTTATTTCTGTACAGTTCTATAGACTAATTGCTTTTATTTTGCTTATAATATGGTCTACAAGCATTTTAAGTGGCAATTAAATTCATCATATGGATTATCACATAACTCCACCTGATGTGATGACATAAACCAGAGCTACAACCAGGTTCATCCCTGTGCAGGTCATAGTGATCCTATTATGGTCGTAAAAGTAACAAACTGATCAATTATAAAACACAGTCCGCTTTCAAAGATATTAATACATGAGAGGTCAGGAGGCACAAACCTTAGAGTGGATGAGACAATCTCTTCCAAATGTCCATGTATATATTTCCTCATGGAAATAAGATATAAATGTAATATGAAAACCAGAGTTTAGTGAGCAACAAAATCTTTAAAGAACTTCAACAGACAAAGAACACTGTTAAGTCTTCAGTGCAGAAAGATAACGTATACTGCTATTTCAGGTTGCTTCTGAAAGGAAGAGCACAGACACAATTATCTAGTTTTACCTCGTTTGGGACTAACTCACCATCACAAAATACAGTATTATATTCACCCAAAGCAATATGATACTTCTACCTTAAGAGATGTAAAAGTCCACATCTCCCATCTAAGGATCAGCACAGCAAGCAGATAAGGAAGGAGGGGTGTGTTGACAGTCAAAGCTTTCTTCATAGAACTCTAGCCAGGATGCCCTTGTACATAGTCTCCCTCATACTTGGCATATATGTAGATATGCACGTATTCATGCTCTAACCACTTCTTTAATTCAAATTGATCTCAAACCAGCAATGTTTTAATAAAAGCTCAGCTCAACTTTTCAGACTGAAAAAGGGCCCTTAAAGATTACTGGTCAACAGGTTGGGCACTGGGAGCACTGGAAAAGAACAGATCTGGAGACATAGACAGCTGGCTGGTGGATCATTGCCATTTCTTCCCCCAGAGGATTCAGCATCCACCCGGGTGCTCTGCTACCACCCATCCTCTGCCTCTTCCTGCCCTGAAGTCTGCTTCTAAAGTATACAACAGTTTGAAGCTGTAAACCAAGGGTACATTTCGTTAATCTGAGGTTAGTAGCTTGTATTTTGTGATTATTCAGAAATAATGTGTGGATAGCTTGTGTTATGGGTTAAACTGAACTTCAAAAAGAGATAGATTAGAGTCTTGACCCCCAGCACTCAGACAGTGACTTGATTTTAAATAGAATCATCACAAAATAAAATAAAATAAAATGAGGTCATTAGGGTGAGCTCTAATGCACTATCAGTAGTGTAACTGTAAAAATGGGAAATTCAGATACAGCAACAGATATACTCAGCAAAGATACAGAGAAGGCACAGGGGAGGAAGACCACATAAAGACAGAGGTTAGGATGCTACATCTACAAATCGAGGAGTACCAGATATTGCTGGCAAAATACCAGAAGCAAAAACGAGACAAAGAATGAATATTCCCTTCTTCAGGATTCAGTGAGAGCATGGCAATTTCAACACCTTGATTTTATGCTTCTGGCCTAAGGAACCATGAGATAATACATTTCCATTGTCCTAAGTCACCCAGTGTGTGTTACTTCACTACAGCAGCCACAAAAACCCAATATAACATGATATGATACCAATAATTAACACCAACACATAACTATTTGTTTGAAATATTTTTAAACAGGGAAAAATTGTGCAAATCAAGTGTCAAAATACATACCATTTATTTATTAAAAGAACCACCACAAAAATGCAATAGATGAGCAATATTTTTGCTTACATTTAGTTTCCAATAGTTGCCATAGAAAGCACTGAGGTAAGTTTGCCTAAGTGGCTCCTTCGCACTGGATTATGATCAAAACAAAGTTATGCTGGATCACACCAAGGATCTTAGGTGCAGTGCCAGTTTTTCCAAGGGAAAAAGTTGCTAGGTATTCCAATGCCAAGAACTGTGTCAAATCAAACATGTCGCAGACAGTGTGAAAAGAAAGGGTCACAATTACATAGAAAGTGCCGGTGTTCCGAAATTGTGGCCTCCTGTTGATCCGCTGGAGATTAAATGTTTACTACACTGAAAAGGTCAAAGTTGAAATTTAACACCCAAAGTCTGTAGTTGGTGGCTTCTTATCTGCAAGATTATTAATATCTGCATTATTAATCTACCCAAACATTTTAAGGATTCTAAAATCAACCCAACACATAAAACAAGTACTGTCTTTCACAGGAACATATATTCTTAGTTTGTAAGTCACAATCAAGATATGGCATAACTTAAAACACACTAAAAATATGAAATTTCTCCTTAACTCAAAGATCATTAATTTTACCAATGAATAAATAAAGATCTATTGTTTCATACACTCTGGCCTCCACAATACCAAGGATTGAACAGGTGCCCATTTCTTTTTAAAATGAAAATGCTGTTGTTCAAATATTTGTTAAGAGACATCTTAAAGTATGCCAAAGTCAAAGTTTATTGGTTGACATTTTAAAATAGGAGTATATTTTAGTATTATAGAATCGCATAGAATAGAATCTCTTTCTACAAATTGTCTTCAAAAACAAATTTTTGATTATTCATCAAAACAAGAAAAGGAATAATTCTCTATAGGATGAGTATAATGTTAAATGAAATTTAGCCTATATGTATTTTAATTTTGATTAAAAATAAATTGTCAGACTGTCTATATTACTCCAGTTCAGCACTCCCTCCCCCATTTTTCACTGTTCAGGAAATGAAAGCTTTCATTTTCTGTTCTATTTTTACCTAGACTCTCTCCTGCACTTTTTTTTTAATCAGTATTACCTTTAAGTCTTCTTGGCTCCACAAACTTCTAATCATCTGGAAGCTA